CCCTTCCCCTGCAGGGGGTTCAGGCGGTACAGCTGCGGTAGAGTCATCTCGCACATTCTTCACACAGGTCACCCTTCTGCTGGCCAGCACCAGCCTCTCCTTGTGGCCTGGGCTTCCTCTGGCCCAATGGCTGTGCCAAGGGTGGACGTCCCCAGCGATGGCCAGGAAGTAGCAACCAGCTGCCACTTCTACTGCGTTCTGTTTGTGAGGAGGGTGCAGCGCAAGCCAAGGAAGGGGCAGCTGTACTCCACCCTTGATAGAGTGCCCGAAACTTTTCAGGCATTTTTCAACCCCCACCCCTCGCTCCTGCACCTTAGCCCTGGCGGGGAGGCCTGCTATATCGATACTCCGATTAGAGCCAGTGAGACACTTTTCTCCAGCTTCCCCATTAGCAGCTCCGGGCACCCCTGTCCTTCTGAGACTAGCTGTCTCCAGGGCATGCTGTGTGTGTGACCGGCCCGATTTATGCGTGGAGTGTGCAAAGAGAGGAGCCTGGGGGGTTTTAAACTTTGCTTTCTTACCTTTCCACCATTCCTTAATGTGGCCAGCCTGATAGTAGGGAGTGTTCTGTGGACGGCCAAGTCGCCTGAGGAATTGAGTCTGGAAGGCACCGCCAGCCTAGGCATCTGTGGGGAGGGTACGGCGCTGGGGCGCCCTCAGGCCACGCCTGGTTCGAGGAATGATAGTTAACAGGGATCCCTAGATACAAAGTCACCCACCTCTTAACTGAATTCCAGGCACAGGCTTGCTTTTGGAATTGACCCATTGGGCTATCCGAACTCTGGGAGTCTTGGTAGGAAAGATTTCATAGAGAAAGCGAGCCGAGCGTGGAGGGCAAGATCCTCTCAGAAGGAGTGACGTTAAGTAATGATATTTGGATTAAAACCCTAGGGTTTAACAATGGCAGTGTGTATCTTTCCTGGTACTCATTGAGGAGCCCCAGTGGTGTAGTGGGTCAGCAGTTCAAACCCACCAGTGGCTCCTTGGGAGAAAAACGAGGCTGGGTGCACCTGGACAGAAGCAGAGACGCGAGGGAACAGTTTGCCTCTGTGCTGTAGGGCTGCCACGAGTCGGGTGGAGGTGGTGGCAATGTGTGGGGCATTCACTAGCTCAGCCCCTTCAGAAAATGATAATGTTCCTCGTGTTCAGACCCCTCAATGGTGTTTTTCTACAATGACTGATGTCCACGGCACATGTGGATTAGCCAGAGAGCCGTGCAAAGGAGAAACGGAGCGTCCTGCTGCAAAGATGGAGTGAGTGAGAACAGGTTAGAAAGACGATTTTGTATTTCAAAGGTTATTCTCCCCTTGAGCAGCCAAGGGTGCCCCAGAATTAAACTCTCCGGGGGAAACGAAGCACCTCCATGAAGTGGAGAGGATGACGGGAGAGAGAGATCGAGCGAGCGCGTGGGTACGCAGGAGGGGCCCCTTGACTGGGGAGAGGTTTGCACCTTTTCTTACTGATGGCCCGCTCTGTGGGAGGCTAGGAAATCCCCAGGGCTTTCATCGCCACTCTTGGCTGCAAGTGTCCCTTGTCTCTCACGAGGCGTGCAGTTCTGTGGACCTCGGCGCACCTTCACACCTGTCATCCGGAAGCACGGCATCTCAGGAAGGGCCACGTAGCGACGGTCTGCTGTGGTCAGCCTTTGTTTTCTCGCTCGCTCCTCAAATGTGTTTTCTCGTGTGCTCCTCCCAGTAGCCCTTCACGGTAGTTCTTCATCGTCTCCACCTGTAGGCTAAGACAAGGGGGATCAGAGAAGCTAAAGATCTTGTCCCAAGTTGCCCAGCAAAGAAGTGGTAGAAGTTAGAGGCCAAGTCTTTGTAATGTTTTTAGATGTGTTTGCATGAAAGGCGGCTTACGGTGAAGAGCGTAAGGATTACACAGTATCGGGATTAGGACCACCTTGGCCCCCAGGCACCCTATGACTGCCCCATAGGGTTTCCCAGGCTGTAAACCTCTGTGGAGAGAACCTCTGTTCTTTCACAGAGCGACTCGTGGGTTCAAACCACCGACCTTGCAGCTAGCAGTTGAACGCTTAGCTCCTGGGCTACCACTCGGACAGTCGGGATCCAACTTCTTTTGGGGGCAGCCTTATTTTCTGCCATAAGAATGCAGTCCCAGGGCCAGGCGAAGCAGGAGAGGACAAGGAAATGCTGCCATGGGTGCAGGCTGCCTTAGGCCGGCTGTACCCAGATGGCCCCATGGGGCGATCCCGCAGGGAATCCCGGAGCCCACCAGGGCTGGCTTCACGCTTCATCACACTGGCAGAATGAACATGTGGACCCTGGCCTCGAGCCTTCTTCCCACATCCATCAAGGAGCCCTGAACCTGTACTTACACCAAGAGCTGCCCTGTAGATGCATACGTAGGAGTTGTCCCAGGGCAGAGACAAAAGCAGAGATGCAGATTTCGTCCAACCACTTTGTGGCCTGATGATGGAGCAGGGCAAGCCGTTGATTGTTCCTCCTCCACAGAGAAAAGAGCCGAAGTGCACGGGCTCAGTCTTGAATGGTAGTGAAAGAGCAGCCAGCCGACCATCCAGAGACAAGATGTGCAAAGCACGTTGTCAAGTGGCCTGAATCAGAAGGAAAGGGTTAAACGTGAATCGGGTCAAAGTCTTAAACTCGCCGCCATTGAGTTG